GGGGGGGGGCACAGGCACGCCGCCTACCTGCAGCTCGTAGAGGCCGTTTAGCAGAGCCTTCCCAGAGCGGTTCACCTCCTCCAGCAGGTTCTCCCGCCGGATCACATTCAGGACCTCCGCCAGGAACAGGTTCTTGGACGGGTCGCCCATCCAGGTGTTGAAAATCCGGTAGGCCTGAAACAGGCACAGACACACTCAGCGGAGGCTGTGCGGGGCCACGGCCAGCTTTGTGTTGCTGATGTGTGAGTCTGTGAGTACAAATGAGTCAGTTAAAGGTGAAGCCTCACTCTGACCGTCACCGCCTCTTTGTTCTGCCGGAACCTTTTCAACAAGTCACAGGAGGCTGCTCTCACACAGTAAGTGTGTCAGGGCAAAGCCACATCTGGCCGGGGGATGAGCCCAGATGTGGCGTGGTGTTGTTGGCAGATGTGCTGTGAATGAGTGCTATGTCTGTCCTGATGTGTTCTGTAGCACAGACGGGTCCTGTCAGCGGTCAGGGCCTCAGGACCAGGTGAACAAACCTTGTCGGCCTGCAGCTCGTCCTTGTGGTAGTACCCCCCCGTGAGGAGCTTTTTACTGAAGGAGACGATGTCGGCGGGGTCGTCCATGCCCCAGTGCTCATGGGCCCAAAACTTCCCAGTGGCTCCCCCACCGGTCTGGACTTCATCCACATGAAACGCACAGCCATGCTGAGGACACAAGAGGTTTACGCTGTTACGCCAAAGGAAGCACAACAGCACACAGCTGTCAGCGGTCAGCATCACTCCCTCAGTCCATCCCTCCCTCCTCCAGCCATCACCAGTCACTTACGACGCGGGGCCTCCCTCGTCCGGCTGAGCTGGGCTACCTGAACAGGAAAAACAGCCTCTAACTGTTTGTGAGGCCCACATCTGGGCCCGGGCTTAGGCCCGTCCAGCTGCTCAGAGCGGGTTTGATGATGGTTCCAGGAGCTGAGCTCCTACAGCCTGGGCTCGGCTCCAGGTGTGTGTACACTCACACGCAAACAGCAGCCTCCAACCTCAATGACCGTTCTTCTGTGTGGATTCATGTGTGTGCACAAAGTGGGACCTTTGAGCCCTAATAAAATCAATCTGCTTGCTCTGTGTCATTCTGCTCTACAAGCAAAGGGCGCCGTTGCCATGCCTCTCAAAGCCATGGCAACTCCACTTCCTGGCATCTCCTCATCAAATGAGTCTGTCGGGGGTCAAATGAGTCTGTCTGGGGTTTGGGAACTCTCTCGGGGGGAGAGCACCTGTTACCTTGCGCGCGATGTTGCGGAGTTTCCTGAAGAAGTCGGCGGAGGCGTGGTTATCCCCTCCTTCAGCCTGAATGGGTTCAATGACGATGCCTGCCACCGGTCTGCCTTTCTGCCTCCACTTCACGATCAGGTCCTCCACCTGAGCGTGCACACAGGAGCTCCAGGTCACCCACAGGAGCCACACAGTACAGAAGAACTACAGGACATAGTCAGAAGGGGGGCCGGTAGGCAGCACACACACCTCCTCCAGGCAGCGGGCCTCCTCCTGTGCATTCTCTCTGGCAAACTCCTCCAGGGGGTACTGCAGCTTGGGGAACGGCGCGATGGGCCAATCAAACGATGGGACGTCCAGTTTGTGGATGACTTTAGAATGGGTTGTTGCCAAGCAGCCTAAACCAAATCAGACATTGGCAGATGAATATCAGAAATTCCACTAACCGCCAAGCTCCCTCAACCGGCCCCCTAATCGGCCGCTGCATTCTTTGGTCATATGACGATGCCCGACCCTCCAGTCAGGCCACCTCTGAGCAGGCACGGAGGCTAGAACAGGAGGGAGTACGCAGCATTTCTGGTCCGACCAAACAGAATGGATCAGCTCTTAGATAAGGTAGTGCCAGCACCAGATCCAGAGTTTCAGAGTAGCTGCTGTCTTCCTGAAAGACGGCTGCAGAAGCCTCTGGCCAGATTTAGGACAGCATGAGCTGTGACATAAGGGAGGAGTGGAAAAAGCCTCCAGGTCCAGCAGGACATCCGACTACTGCTCTATTCAAACACATATTCAAACACAACTACTATGGCCCTAATGATTGCCAATTAAACACAGGAGAGTAGCTCTGACGGAAGCTCAACCCGATTGGAGTGTGAGAAGAGTTCCACATACCCATGGTTCGTCCATGGAAGCCTCCCATGAAGGATAAGATACTGAGATCTGGACAGCCCGGGGTCTGACACGAAAACACAGAAGCAAAAGGTCAATATTCTGCGGCCTCAGTTTGGAATCCAGCTTAGTGATACGGTGGAAGTGGAGGACCTGGTTTATCATGCAGCTGCTCATGTCCTCCTCAGATGGAGAGCTGTGCCCTCGCTCCTTGTTCTACAGAAAAGCAAAGACATGAGGGGATGAAGCTGGCCTTTAGTCATCATAAAGCGTGTGGCAGCAGGCAGGACGGCCTTGATCCTGATCCACTTCAAGATAGACAACAACATTTCATATCAGCCATTGTGCACTATGGGATCTTTAACGATCTGGTTTTCCACAGGCTCCATCCATACTGGCCTCTTTGGATGTAACCGCCAGAAGCAGATTCAGCTCCATTATCCTCTGAAAAACTGGAGTACAAGCATCAGACAGCATGTGCTTAGTGATGAACTGAAGTGATTTCCTCTGGGTTTGTGTCCGGAACCTCTCATTAAAGGTTTGAGCAGCTTGGAGCTGGCACACACTTAGGTTGGGTGTTTGATGCTCGTCTTCAAGCAGCAGCCACTCACCCGGTACCAGATGAACATTGCTTTGTAGGCGTTCTCGTTGGAACAGGAGCCACAGGCCATCGTCTGAACCCGGGTCATTCCACTGGGGGCCACCTGGCAGGAGGTGTGACAGCAGGGTCAGAGAAGAGGAAGAACACAGTAGAAATGTTGTGGCAGGTGAGTGGGTGTACGTCTGCAGATTCCACACCGAGAGAAGACTTTCTGCCAGTTTGTCTGGAAAATTCTCTGGTGGTAGGATTCCCAAGGCGGGCCGGTTGATAAATGTGCTCTGAGGGAGGACAGACAACATAGAGAGACACTCTTCAGAGGGGGTGCTTCTGAGGAGATGCTCCCCCACACGGCTGCATCTCCTCATTTTACGGCACTTCACTACGGACGGTGTGTGTGAAAGGGACCCACCAGATTGTTGGGATTGCTCATCAGTTTCAGGAGAGCGGGGTGATTGTAGCCTGAAACGAAAAAACATCAATAATCAGTCTATAAAACCTATGCCTTTACTTCTAGGCAGCACACTTAAGGTGGCTTAGTGTGCAACTCCACTGGGATGTGCACACAAAATCAGAATACCATGGCTTGCTAATGTCATTAAGCAATAGTTTAATCAAAAGAAATCCCTTAAAAGTACTCAATTTATAAAACAGACGTGCTGCTCAGCCTGTCTGAACAAACAAAGCTCATTTCAAAGGGACTGAGGCAGAGAGGAAACAGTCCTGTGCTCAGATGAATCAGAACCACAATCCGTTCTTTCTGCATCCTCCAGACACAAGAGGAGAAGAACTATGCAGCAGGTTAGCCGCCCTCATTTCAAACCCTGCATCTCTGCTCAGGTTTTGGAGCAACTTCTGTTCCATCCGGAAGGAAACATTCTGTTCTTTTCTGTTTTACTATCGCTTTTTTGTCCTATTGAGAAGGGGTTATTAGATTGTGTGAACCTGTGGGTTACACATTCTGTGTTGAATGGATCATTTACTCAGCAGTTGTGGGGTTGCACATCATGCTTCTGAACTCCACACATTTTAGGACAGGACTCATCCATCAGGAAGGTTTTTATACTGGTTTGGTCCCAGTATGACTAATTACCATGTTGTTGGGCTGCTCTTAGTAAGAGCAACACAACATTCAAAGAGCCTGTCAGTGTCACATTTCACTGATCTACATTAAAGCTAAATGTTGAGCTGGGAACAAAGCTTTGGCCATTTTTTCTTACATAAACAGCAGCAGGCCTTACGTAAAGGCAGCGCAGTTCCCCCTGTGACCAGCAGAGGGCAGCCAGGCATCGCCATGTTTCCCTCTTACACAACAGTCTGGATGCTCCTCAGAGGGGCCAGCAGCACAGTTCCTGAAAGATGCTTCCTCCCCGTTGGGGGGAGGGGTTCGCTTCCACCCTCCGATTAGAAAGACGTGCATTCCATGCACAGTCGCACTAACGAATACTTGGAGGGGACATATCTTAGGCCCGTTTCTTTGACTGGTGGCTGTGAGCAGGACATTCTCAGGCTAAACACAAACCATTAGCAGCTCAGAGGGGTTCTCAAATGCTGAATTAATTAAGTGAAAGCTGCCGGCACCAACAAAAGCCCTTCTGTCATGGACAGCCGGAGGCAGTTTGACCAAATGACAGCAGGCTTCAGCATGGTGGCTGAATATCGGCTTTAAAGCTCAACACTAGTCTTTCTATGCTCAGGACAGTAGAGGACGCATCCCAGTGAACAGAACCCCCCACAGGTTTTTCTCTAAGCCTACAGAATACAGTTTGGTGGACACTTTGATAGCCGACCTGGCTTTTACAGCTCCAAGCTGAACAGAGACATGTTTGACTAACCAATGGGGATGGAGGAGATCTGAGTGTAGACATCCAGCATGCGGTTGCCATCCACATCCACCAGGTAGTTCCCTCTGCTCTCATCGTAGTTGCAGAAGAAGTTAACTGCTCCGACATTCTGCAAAGACACTTGAGCATCAACAGCACACCGTTTTAGCCCTGCAGACAGATGACACCTCCCCGTACTGACCTGCACTGACCTGTGCAGGGGTCACTACGCGGTGCAGGGCTCACCTGGCTGCACGCTCAGAGCCTCACACTGTGGCTCTGTGCTACCACAGAGCAGCCCATACCACACCACGCAGGCCTGGGGCCGGCGGGGGCTTTTATGCCTCCCTCCTCTTCTGTGGGGACGCTGAACACCTCTACATGTTTGGATTCATGGCAGCCAGCTTCCTGCTGTTTGGGGTTGGTGGATACCTGGTTTATCAGGAAATCCAGACACTGGCAGGGCGCCATGCGAGCCGTTGCTCTGAGTCATCCACACTGGAGCTTAGACTTTGTGCGACTTGACTCACTAACTGGATGCCTGGGGGGCAAACACAACGCTCCGGGGGCAAACTGGGGACCAAGTCTGACCACATAACGGAGATGGGCACCACCTAGGTGAAGTGGGAGGGAAACTAACATGGTTCAGCTGAACTGGACCCGCCATTGTGAGCCCTGCTGAGGACTTCACGTTTGTTACGTTTCTGCATTTAGACGCTTTTATCCAAAGCGACTTACAAAGTAGACACAATGTTCCAGTTCTCATCAGACCTGAGTCACATAAGACACGTCCTGCTGGAACAAAGCTAGCTCTCTTATCTCCATCTGGCTCCCTGAGAGCTCTGCAACTTTGGTTTTGGATGGAGTTGCACATGGACGCTCTGCCCCCCCCCCTTCCTGAGTAGGACTGACTGCCTCAGAGGGACAAATTCCACCTGATGCCTGTGAACTGAGGGGACCTCTCTGGCCTCTTCCTCATGTGTGTGTGGACATGGCAGTGGTGCCTCCGTCCTCCTGACCCCTGCACACAACTTTGCTGTCCCGGGACGCTGGATCAACGGCATTAAAGACTCACAGCGCCGGGGGGAGTCACTGACCATCCCATGGTCCACTGACAGCCCCCTCTGCGCCCACAGCCCCCCGGGGCTCAGACGGGGGGCTCAGGTCCAGCTCCTGGCGTGCATTAGCGGGCACACTGCTCCCTTTTAGAAAGGATGGTGATATTTCAGAGGGATGTGAGCTCAGACCCAACAGGAGGTTGAAACACGGTCTGAAACTGATTGAAAGAGTGATTGGTTGACAGCTGAAGTGTGCTAAAAAGGCCTTTTCAGCCCGTGTGCCACATTGAGCTGCTTCACAGGCAGGCTTCTGCACCAGGGCTGCTGGAAGTGGGGCAGGGAGCCATGAGCTGCAGGCTCTCCCAAACTAGTTCACTGAGCTGACATAATGAAGCTCCTGACTGCACACACACAAAGAGCTGTTGGAGAGTCCAACTCAAGCTCACACAGCATCCTACCACAATGGCTTTTGGCATTAGCACTGGTGCTAGCCGTCCCACACATCCCTGCTCACCTGGATGTCTCCCAGCTGTTTGGTCAGCTCCTGCGGGAGGCAAGCACATGGTCAGACACGCCCCCACACAGCTGGACCTGAGTGGACAGAGTGGCTTACTTGTGACCTGGGCCCAGGGACGGTGGTTTTCATGGAGGGTCCATCGTAGTCACACTCCAGCTGGGTCTGTGCTGCTGCCTTACTGACGGACCTGCAGCCTGCTGGACAAACACATCCACGCTCACAGGTGTGCACGGCTGCTGCCATTCTAGGTTTAGGTGGACTGGGCCTGACGGGCGGAGCATTTCCTTTGAACAGAGGAGGCAGAGGGCGGACCCTGGGGGGAGGGGGGGGGTTCCCCTGAGAGGACTGCAGCTTTCAGGACACACAGGA